TCATGATCGTTAATGATAAAGTCAAAAGTGTGAAGAACGAATATTTGGCTATATTAATTAATCGATACTATGCTTTTGGTAATTGCTAATTGAAAGCATGAAGGGGCTTTCTGGGAAGAGGTCATGATTTATAAGTAGGTAGGTGGGGCAAGGTGAGAGTGAGTGCTAGAAATTTCTGGAAGTTGAAAAGGCAATGAAAGTAGGCATTTGTTTTTCTTGAAGGGGAGAGAGCTTTATTTCCTTCACTTTATTTCATACTGAACAAAAATTGGTCTTGCTCTACAAAATATGTTCCCTGCATTTTATGTTACATATAATCTGCAAACACATTTTTGCAGTACAAAACTTTTTGAGAAACATATATTTATATAGATTTTCAAAAAGATGGAGGACTACAAGTATATTGCTAGTCAAGAATATTTCCAACATAAAAGACCTCAAATTAAAATTTGAATTTTTGGTTGTTCTGTTTTTTTTTTTTTTTCTATCTGAAAGCTCCTTCAAGATATGTGTATTTTAAAATCCTGCCCATCAGAATCCTGCTAATCCACAGCAATTTTATTCACTGCTGGAGATGCGCTAACTAGGATGATGACTAATTATATTGTTTTTGAATTTAGATGAAAGGTATTGAAGTCACTCTTTGATGTGGAATTTGATTAGTTTTGAATGCTGCTTTAAATTATGCTTGTATGTTGGCAGGGACAAGTGGGTGTAAGGTCAACCCTTCCTCTGAATATAGAGGCATGATGGTCAGAAGGTCACCATTCAGCCCTCCATTCTCACCTGATATTTCTTTCGTTGATGACTAGACAATAACAAAAGGGAATAACTATGGCAGTTTATTTCCTATGTGTATAGATTTTTAAAAATATTCTCTTGATCAGTTAATTACTTCATGATTAATGCTATTAATATTAAATGCAAAATGTTTTTAGTAAATAATTTGCTTAGGAAAGGTAAAAAGGAAGGAAAATTTAATAATTAAGACCTCAACTTGAAATTACCACCTGACTAAATACTCATAGAGAAATAGAAAAGAAACTGCATTGCTTTATTCCTAATTTTAATATCGCCTTTCGGTTTTAGTGCCACTGATTATAGGGGTATTTTGAAAGTGTCTTTTTTAATGCACTTATGACAACTTTTCTATGGGGTGTCTAATAAGACTACTTTTCTTAATAAAGTTTATTTCGAAATTTTTAGAAACACTGATAATCATTCTGTCTGGGTAAATTGACCACTTACAATATTTATAACAGGCAAAGCACTGTAATAGTGGTTCCATTTGTTCAAGTAGATTTGCTGTATAAATCTAAAGTTGAGAGACCTCACATTTCTGCTTTTAGAGACTGGACTCTAGAATAATTATGAGCAGACTTATTATGTGAGATGCTGTTTATAGTTTAAAGATAAGGAATAATTAGATCCATTTGCCTTCGTAAGAACTATACCTTTTAATCTAAAAAATTATTGACCATGAATTCTTACTTCGAAGTAGAAAACTACAGTAATTCAGTTACATTTAAAATTCAAATACATAATTATTTACTGTCTATTCATAATTATCAGAATAAGCCTAAATTCCAGTAAAAAGAATGCTCTAGAAACAATAAAATTTTCTGCATGCCAGCCATATATTCTGACTAAAACAAGCTTCTGAATTGCCAGTCACATCTCTGAAACAAAATCAGGGTTATGATTTCCATATTGTGTATTTTCGTCATTGTTCAGCTACTATGAAATAAATTTCAAGCATGTGTATTTATGTCGTGGGTGTTTTCTGTTTGCTTTTGTAATGTTTATAGGCAAAGGACCAAAATAATGAATATTAGGTATTCAACTGGAATTAAAAACACACATCATTCCTTTTAGCACCAAAAAATGAAATACTTTGGTATAAATCTAACAACATATATATAAGATATTTATGAAGAAAACTACAAAAATTTGATAAAGAAATCAAAGATCTAAAATAAGTGGAGAGGTATTCAATGTTCATGGGTAGGAAGGCTTAATATTGCTAAGATTTCAGTTCTTCCTAACTTGATCTATAGATCCAGCACATCCTCAATAAAAATCCCAGCAAATTACTTTGTGGATATTGACACAAAATTTATATGGAAAGTTAAATGAACCAGAATAGCCAATACAACATTGAAAAACAAGAACAAAGTTAGAAGACTGGTACTAGTCAACTTAAAAAGTTTATTATAAAGGTATTGTATTCAAGACAGTGTGGTCTGATTTAAAGAACAGACAAATAAATTAGTGGAACAGAATGGAACAGAGAGCACAGAAATAGACCCACATAAATATAGTCAACTGATCTTTGACAAAGGGACAAAAGTTGCTCAATGGAGAAAGGATAGTCTTTTCAATAAATTATGCTGGAACAATAGGACATCCACATGCCAAAAAAAAAAAAAAATGTAGACTCCACCATATCACAAAAAATAATTCAAAATATATCATAAGTCTAAATGTAATAACAAAACTATAAAACTTTTAAAACATAATGTAAGAGAAATGCTTGGTGACTGTGGGTTTGGTAATGACCTTTTCGATACAACACTAAAAGTAAAATCTGAAAGAGAACGATGATAAATTGTTAAGAGAGTGAAACAATGAGCCCAGGCTGGGGAAAAAATATTTGCAAAAGACATATCTGATAAAAGACTGTTATCTAAAACATACAAAAATCTCTTAATACTCAACAGTAAGAAAACAAACAACCCCATTTAAAATAAAGCAAAATATCTAAACAGACACCTCACCAAAAAAGATATACGGATGGAAAATAAACATATGAAAAGATGCTCCACGTTACATGTCATCTAGTAAATGCTAATTAAAACAACCGTGTAATACCACTGCACACCAGCTGAAATCTAAAACACGGACAATAGCAAATACTGGCAAGTGAAAGAAGTTCTTTAAAAAGGATTACATACTGTATGATTCCAACTATGTGACTTTTTTTTTTTAAGTTTATTTGGGTAACATTGATTATATAATTTTTGGGTATACATTATAATTTGACATCTGTATATTCTATTGTGTGATTACCACCCAGAGTCCAGTTTCCTTCAGCTACCATATATTTGATCCTCTTTACCCACTTC